CTGGGGCATCTGACTAAAAGACTGCTGTACAGCGAAACGTTTCAGTAAAAAGATAGCATGTTGCACATTCGTCAACTTGTCGTAGTGGAATCGCAAAAAAAAAAAAATATTAAAACACCCAGACTTCAACAGAAACTTACAAACAAAAAGTGCGTGTAAAGAAAGATTTCTAAAAACAAAATTCATATAAAAAATATAAATATATATTATATATATAAATATATATATATATAAATATATATATAAATATATATATATATATACATGTATATAATATTTTTTCTTTCAACACCCCGGGCCGTATCCCACCAAGGCAGGTGGCCCAAAAGAAAAAACGAAATTTTTCTCTTTTAAATTTTAGTAATTTATACAAAGAAAGGGTTTTTACTAGCCCCTTGCTCCCGGGCATTTTAGTCCCTTTTACAACACGCATGGCTTACGGAGGAAGAATTCTGTTCCATTTTCCCATGGAGATAAAAGGAAAAAAACAAAACTAGAACTAGAAAGAAGATAGCAAAAACCCAGAGAGGTGTGTATATATATTTTGTAAAATGTATTGAAAGTGTGACCTAAGTGTAATTTAGAAGTAGTAAGACGTACATGAAACCTTGCATGTTTACGAGACAGAAAAAAGGACGCCAGCAATCCTACCATCATGCAAAACAATTACAGGCCTTCGCTTTACACTCACATTGGCAGACGGTAGTACCTCCCTGGGCGGTTGCTGTCTACCAACCTACTACCTAAAATAAATAAATAAATAAATATATATATATATATTCTTTCTTTCTTTTCTTTCAACACACCGGCCGTATCCCACCGAGGCGGTGTGGCCCAAAAGGAAAAACGAAAGTTTCTCCTTTTACATTTATTAATATATACAGGAGAAGAGGTTACTAGCCCCTTGCTCCCGGCATTTAGTCGCCTCTTACAACACGCATGGCTTACGGAGGAAGAATTCTGTTCCACTTCCCCAAGGAGATAAGAGGAAATAAACAAGAATAAGAAATAGAAAGAAAATAGAAAAAAAACCCAGAGGGGTGTGAAATTTTGTGCTTGACATGTATGTTAGTGTGACCTAAGTGTAAGTAGAAGTAGCAAGACTACCTGAAATCTTGCTGTTCATGAGACGAAAAAGGCCCACCAGCAACCCTTTACCATCATTAAAACAATTACAGGCTTTCCCTTTACACTCACTTGGCAGGACGGTAGTACCTCCCAGGGCGGTTGCTGTCCCACCAACCACTACCTATTTATAATATAAAATATATAAATATATAATAAATATTATATATAATATTATATAATAATTATATATATAAATAAAATAATAGTCGATTTTTCCACTGACGAGGAACTTCCGGTTTGGGCCTTCCACTGAGCGAGGAATTTCCGGTTTGGGCCTTCCACTGAGCGAGGACTTCCGTTTATAGCCTTCCACTGAGCGAGGTTATCCGGGCTAGGGCCAGCAGCTGGAGGGTCACCTTTTCACACCTAATGTTTTCTTTCCGTTTTGACCATGAACCCTCGCCCTCGAGACTACCTCACCCTTGACCCCCCCAACCATACCCCCGCCCACGACCCCCCCCCCCCTTTGCGACCCCACCGTCGCGCCGCGCACTCCCCCGCGCGCCCCGCCTGCGCCCTTCCGACCCCCCGCCGCGGCCCCGCCCGCGCCCCGCCCGCCCCCTTTTTTCGGGGACCCCCCGCCGCGCCTTCCCTGCCCCCCTTCCCTGCAGCGCCCCGTCCGGACCCCCCGGGGCCTCAAATTTTTTTTTTTCCCGATTTTTTTTCGAATTTTTTTTGAATTTAAATTTTCCTTTTTGGTCTCCCATCTCCTCGGATCAATTTTAAAAAGGTTTCCCCCCTTTCCATTTCACCCCCACCCCAAAAATTTCTCGAAATCAAAGCCCTCCATCCCCTCAGAAAAAATTTTTTAAAGGGTTCCCCCCCCTCCCATTTCACCCCCCAATCCCAAAAATTTCCATAATAAAATTTTTGGGTTTCCCCCCCTAGGGGTTTTTTGAATTTTTTATTTCCCCTTTGGGATAAAATTTTTTTGGATTCCCCCCCCCACTTTCACCCCCCAACCCAAAAAATTTCTCGTAATACAAGTTTTTGGTTTCCCCCCCCCTAGGGGGTTTTTCAAAATTTCCCTCCATCCCCCCCTGGGATAAAATTTTTTTTTGGATCCCCCTTGGGTTTTTTTCAAAATTCCCATCCCCTTTTGGATCAATTTTTTTTGGATTGTCCCTCCTTCCACCCCCCAAACCCCCAAAAATTTTTCCCTCAAAAATTAAAAGTTTTTTTGCATTCCCCCCCTAGGGGGGTTTTCAAAATTCTCCATCTCCTTGGATAAAATTTTTTTAAGGTTCCCCCCCCCCCCCCCTTTCACCCCCCCCCCCAACCCCCAAAATTTCTCGAAAATTAAAATTTTTTGGGGATTCCCCCTAGGGGGTTTTTTCAAAAATTCTTATAAATCTCCTCGGATCAATTTTTTTTCCTCGAAATAAAAAGTCTCCATCCCTTGGACCAAATTTTTTTGGAAATTACCCCTCTCACTTTCACCCCCAAACCCAAAAAATTTTTTCAAAAATCCCAAAACTTCCCAATTTCCCTTTGGGGATAAAGGGGTTTTTTGGTTTCCCCCCCCCTCGGGGGGTAAGAAATTCAAATAACTCCTCCTAGGGGGGCATGGCTCTCTCTTACTAAAAGGTCTAAAAAAAGTGTGCCCTTTCGGGATAAAAATTAGATAAAACGAAAAAAAATTGGGGGGTTTTTGGGGGTTTTTGGGTGTTGTGGGTTTGGGTTTTTGATCTTATTTTATGGTGAATTTGGGGGTTTTTTTGATGTATTCAGGGGTTTTTTTTTAGAAATTCAGGGGTTATTTGGGAGTACTAAAAGGGTGTTTTTGGAAGTTTTCGTGTTTTTTGGGAAAATTTTTCAAAGGGTTAAAAGGGGTGTTTTGATTTTTTCCAAATGTTTTTTTTTTTTGAAGGTGATAAAGGGGGTTTTTTCAAGGGTTTTTGAAGGTTTTCAAAGGTTTGAGTGTTTTTAAAATTTTTTTAATGAAGGGGGTTTTAAAGGGTTTTAAAAAGGGTTTTTTTGAAGGTTTAAAAGGGTTTTTTTGAAGGTGTTGAAAGGGTTTTTTTTGTTTTGAATTCAGCGGTGTTTAGTAGAAATTCAGGGTGTAATTTGGGGTATACTAAAATTTTTGGTGTTTTTTGGAAGTTTTTCATTTTTTGTTTGGGAAAAATTTTCAAAGGTTTTTTCCCTAAGGTGTTAAAAAGGTTTTTTTTGGAAGGTTTTTAAAGGGGTGTTTAAAGGGGTGTTAAAGGGGTTTTTTTAAATTGAATTCAGGGGTTTTTTTTAGTAGAAAACAGGGTGGTAATTTTGGGAGTACTCAAATATTTTTTTGGGAAATGTTCAAAGGTGTTTTTGAATTTTAAAAAGGAGTGTTTTAAAGGGTGTTAAAAGGGGTTGAAGGTTTTAAAAGGTTTTGTTTTGATTAAATTTCAGCGGTTTTTTTAAAGTAGAAATTAAATGGAGTAATTGGGAGAAATCAAATAGTGTTTTTTAAAAATTTTTCAAAGGGTGTTTAAAGTTTTTTGAAGGTGTTGAATTTGTGTTTTGTTTAAATTTCCCAGCGGGGGTTTTAGTAGTAACATTTGGTGTAAGGGGAGTACTCAAAGGGTTTTTTTTTTGGAATTTTTCCCTAGTTTGTTTTGGAAAAAGTTAAAGGTGTTCAAAGGTTTTTTGGGATTTGGGGCCCAAATTTTTTTTTGAAGGGATCAAGGTGTTAAAGGGGTTTTTTTAAAAAGGTGTTCAAAAAGGTGTTTTGGGGTTTAAAAGGGTGTTTTAAAGGTGTTAAAAAGGGTGTTTTTGTGAGTATTCAAAAGGGTTTTTTAAAAGGTGTACAAAGATTATGAAGTACTTATGAAGGGGGTTCAAATGATTTTTTTTAAAGGGGTTTTCAAGGGGGGTTTTTTAAAGTTTCAAAGGGTTTTAGGTTTTAAAAAGGGTTTTTTGGGAAGGGGTTTTTCAAGGTTTTTTATGTGAGTTTTCCCAAAGGTTTTTTAAAGGTTTTTCCCAAAGGGGTTTTTAAAGGGTGTTAAAGGGGTTTTTAAATTGAGAAATTCAAAGGTTTTTTTTTGAAGGTGAAACAAATGTTTAATAAAGGTATTTAAATAAAGGGGTTTTCCCAAATTGTTGTGCAAGAGAAACCAAAAAAAGGTTTTCGGGAAAATTTCCAAAGGTTTTTGGGGCGGGTTCGAAGATGTTTTGGAGTATTTTCAGTTTTGTTTGGAAATGAAATAAAGGTTTTTTTTGTGAGAAATTAAAAGGGTTTTTTATGATTTTTTTTGAAATGTTCAAATAAAATCCCGAAATTTTAACTTCGAAATTTT